CTAAGGTGTGTCTGATACAGGCCATGGTCTTTGCTATCACTTGTTATGCATCAGAGAGTTGGACAATGACTAAGGAGGACAGAAGGAGAATTGATGCCTTTGAGCTGTGGTGCTGGAGAAGAGCATTGAGGGTACCATGGACTGCCAGGAAAACAAACAGATTCATCCTGGAAAGGGTCAAACCGGGCTGCTCCTTGGAAACTAGGATTCTAAGGCTCCGTCTAACATACTTTGCACATGTTGCAAGGAGGGACAGGTCCTTGGAGAGGAACAACATGCTTGGTAGGGTGGAGGGACAGCGCAGAAGGGGAAGGCCCCCTATGAGGTGGATTGATTTAGTGACTGGGGTAATCAATCAGGGAGATGGGTATGTCGGAGATGGTGCAATTGGCAAAGGACAGAGCAGAGTTTAGGGCTGTTGTACATAGGGTCGCTATGAGTCACAAGTGACTCGATGGCATATAACAACAACAACATTGAAACAGATGAGGGAGAGAACTGTTTAAAGGGGATATATTATTGGGTATTATTTGCATGACAAGAGTCCAGAATAAGAGCTCAAAAGTGAAGTGTACTGGGGGCAGGAGGTTGTTGTATGACAATGAAAGGTTGTGGTGTGTGTTTTTTTCCAAACTAGGGGGAAGGGTGGGCAGGGAGAAAAATGTGCAACCATGAATGAATGGAAATTCAAGTCCTCTATAATCTTTCATTAAAAGCTAAAAAAAACCAAAAAACCCAAAAACAACCAGCACTGGTGACCAACACAACAGCAGCTAACAACAACTCTGCAAGATTATATTAGGAAAAAATTCTCTTTTTTTTATATATATATATATATATATATAGACTCATTGCTTTAATGTAAGAGGCATATGTTGAAACTTAGCAAAAATCTAAATATATACAAATCTGCTTTAGAATTTCTTAACATTTAAAATTTAAATCTGTCTTGATGCAAAGAAACAATGTCTAAATATCCTAGATATTGCCTATATTTTAGTGTCTATGTAATTGATGTAAATAATGTCGCCAATAAAAATCTAAATCTAAAACAGTTAAATTTGAGAATTCTTTGATATAGGCAAACTCAAAATTAAATTCAAGAAACAATTCTTAACTGAGAAAGCTCATAGCTAAAAGGCTTGTAGTCTGAAGGTAGAAAATGTCGAGATCTTTAAATGTTAGAGAATCATATCTTGGTTTGACAGATCTAGCTAATCTTGAAAGGGCAACTTTCCATTTGAATACTAAGCAGGCATTTATGGCACAGCCTCACAGAGATAAAGAACAACTATGCATTTATTGTTTGCTGGAAGAGGCAGCAGGATGCTGGGAGGGGAAATGATATACTGCACTACTTTGTGTGATTTTCCTCGGATGAGAAGCTAAACATGATTAAAGATAAGCATTACTGTTTTGTTTCAGATGACTCTAAACTAATAAAAATGGTGGAGTCATTTCACAATAGGCAAGAAAATTGCACACTACAGAACATTTATACCATTATACACTGATAGGTACATTTCAAGTAGTGCATTTTGAAAATAAAGGAAACAAGCACTCACTCTACTCTTCCATCTCAAGCTGGCTTCTCTACTAGATTTGACACAGGCTCTCACCACCACGATCAGGGCGTGCTCATCATCCTTCACCAGTGTCCTCAGTCTCTCCATGCTTCTCGGCTTTTTTCATGGGATAGACTCATGCATGCTACAACGATTTGCTTACACGAGTATTCTGTAGAGTTCCCCCCCACACTTATATGAATTCATTTTGTAGTGCACTTTATTGCACAGACTTTACTTCCTTGTCTTATTCTTTCCTCCACAAATATCAATGCACCTCATAATCTTAGGATGTTGTATAACCATCTCAGTTACTGACAGATGAGTCTAATCAAAGGCTGTTCCACTTGGATTACTTCAAAAATAGTTCTGGGAGACACTGGCTCCAAGAGTGAAGATGAAGTGATGATTCAAGAAAGATATCTATAGAAAGAGCCCTTTCCCCCCCTTAAACAACAAGTAAAGAAATATACTAAGGGTACATGGAAGAAAACCTTTTAGTAAGAGAAGTAACCATCCATTTTAACATCAAGTACTAAATTGAAGAATTCTTATTAAAAATGAAATACTTTCTCTACTCTACCCACCACCAACAAAAAAGTTATTTTTGTCATTGTTATATACCACAAAGCTGATTTTTACTTATTGTGACTCTAAGTTACAGAGCAGAACTGCTCACAGAATTTTACAGACTGTAATAAGAGTCTTTATAGGAGTAGATCTCCAGGTCTTTGTCTCAAGTAGCTACGGGACAGGTTCAAACCAGTCTTCTGGATAACAACTGAGTGCCTAACCACTATGTCATTAGGGTTCATTAAAGTTGATTGAAGAGTTAGTTATTTTACAAATTATATTAGGACACTTAAGGGAGATCTGGTGGCCTAATGGACAGAGAGTTGAGCTGCCAACCCAAAGGTGAGTGGTTCAATTGCACTCTTTGTAAGCAATATCTTCTTTTGCAATTTATAGTCTATGAAAACCCACTAAAACTCAGCAATGAGTTGGTTCCAACACAATGAGAATGAGACTGAGTTTTTCATTATGATACTGAAAGTATGAAGTTGTTCTGGTTTGTGCTGAAAGCTGGTAAAAAGAGTGTATACACAGGAGCTGGAAGGCAGAAACACAAGTAACTATGCTTCTATAAGTAAACTCAGTAATGTGACTGATAACAGATAAAAAACCGGAAACAAATTGTTTTAAAAAAAAGTGTAAATCTTTGTATAAGCCACTACACAGAAGTTTTGGGGCCTTCAGGCAGGGGAAGTTTCTAGGGTCCTTTTTGTGGTGTGTTACTGTTCTTCTTCCCCCTCAAAAGTGGGCAGCCCTTGAGCCTTAGACTAAGGATAAGGGTGGAGCTTTGTTTGAAGGTATGGATTAATTTTAGAAGAATATTCTTTAAAAGACACAGCAATCATTTGTCTATTTGCTGTACTGAACAACTTGGAGTTGCTGTTATGCTGAACACTATTCCATATCCGTGTCATATGCCATAATGGATACTCAATATGTATAGTGATTCCATAATGGATACTCAATATGTATAGTGATTGGATGAGCTTCCAGACTGATTCATGTTGGGAAGCAGGAGTGTAATCCACACTTCCTAAACTAGGTGCCTCTGAAAACTCTACAAACTGTCTTACACATGTAAAGAAATTATGTTAATCATAGGCAGAGTTCAGGTCTTTTGTGCAAAGCTTACTCTGAGTCATATTTGACTTGACAACACTTAACCACTGCTAACCAGTGCTGTTATATCTGAAGGCATATTCTTCTACTTTGCACATCACTCTTTGTCCATGTGCTATATAAAGTAACCTGGGTTTGCTTATGATGCTGAACCTTGTGCCATGGGATATCAAATACCAGAATGGTTTCCCATTGTGGACAGTTTTTGGTGGAACTCCCAGCTGTAAAACAGGTTGGGAAGCAGGCGTGACAACCACTTTTTAAACCATATGCCTCTGGAAACTCTATGAACTTGGAGGAAAAAATGATAGCTATGGAAAGGCATTAGGTCTTTTGGTCATAGAGTCACTATGAGTTGACCTCGACTCAATGGCAATCAACAACAATCTTCTTATGAGGGTATAAATTCTTTCCTCCAACTTGCAAGAAAGTACTGAAATATATTCTTTCTCGCCAAATTTAATTCATCTAAAATTCTGTTCAAAGAGATAAATTCTAATCATATATCATTACTATTCTATTAAAATTGTGTACCTCTCATGTATTATATCAAAATGAAAACTGCTTTAGGTTCAAGGGTGATAAGGCACCAGTTTTCCTTCTATAAGTTAGACATTTGATATCTGATGAAATAGCTTTTTTAAAAATTTTTGTATTTTTCTTGTTGTGTACTGCCGAGCCAGAGCCAACTGGCACAGGAGGAGATTACCCCTCCTTCTCCAGTGGAGCATGTGATGGATTCAAACCAAGTGCCTTTGGGATTGCAGTGCAGCTTCTTGCCACTAGGCCATCAAAGCCCCCTTGAAATAGCATTTTAACAGAAGGAAGAATCATAGGAAAATGCAGTCAGTTCAATAAAGAATCAACATTTTACTAACTTTTGTCTGCTTTCAGAAAGTATAATTACTGCTTTAGTGAACTTACTGAACTGATATTCTCCTGATTTTTCTTTACGCGTTCAATCTCCGGGGTATCTTTTACTGCTGTGCCAGCTCCTACTTCTTTTTTATAAAATACCTTTATTATAAAAAAAAGGAAAGGACAAAGATTTACTAGAAATTCAAGTCCTAGAACAGATTCTTACAACAGAAAGGTGATTTTTTTAAGATAATAATGTGTTGATAGGCTATTTATAAGTATCAACATTCTAAGTTAGTTTTCAACTATAAAAACAAATATCCAAATTTGGTTCTATTTTACATAATCTTTAAGTGACCCACTAATACCTGCTCAAGCGTGGCTGGTATTTAATTGGTGACATATTATCTGTGCTGAGGATATAAACTGGCAAATTATTAAGGAGTTTCCTCCTTCAAATATAAAACACACATTTTAAAAAGCTCACTAAGCAGTTATCATTTAATTTAAAAACAGCTTGAAATTTAACTGCTACTCTCCAAACAAGATGCTCTCATTCTTTTCACAGAAACTATCAACTCTATTGTCAACATTACTAATTCAGACTATTTTCTTCAACCTCCACTTATATTTAACCTTTTCACACATGTACTCTACTCTCCCAACTCTCATCAGAACTCCTTTCAGATGCAAAGCAAAACAAAAATAGGAGCCTTCCATGCAAAAACAGGATTTAAAGAAGGCATGTAAGGCCTGAACTACTTCCTCTCTTATATCTAGTAATGAGGGAGCCCTCTGTGGGAAACGGAGCCTACTGTATGAGAATTTTCCTCCAGAAACCAGACATATGAAACACTATGGAGCTACAGGAGTTGAAGGCCAAAGTCTCCTTGATGTCCCTGGCAAAACTAAAATTTTCCTTGCTATTGAGCCAGAACTGACTCATAGCTGACCTCCAGCAAGTTTTCAGAGGCTATAGATTAGGCAAAAGGAGATTGTCCATCTTCCTCTAGACGAGTCCCTGGTGGATTTGAACCACCAGAGAGGTGAGGGTTGTGAATTAGCTGTGCAACTCCCTAAGGACTACACCACCAGAGTTCTCTGCAATACGTTCCATTTCACATCATAGTGAACTTGACTTCAACTCTGAGGACTGGGGCTTTTTTTACAAAATAAAATGCTCCTGATTGTCTTAAAACTTTATGGCATTTAAATTATAAAATACCAGCTAAAACTAATAAGTGACTGATCCAGTGCAATTCTAAAATTTTGTCTGTGTGGTCAATTTTATCTACTGTGAATATTTATGCAAACTCTTAATGGTGCCGTGGAAATTTCCATTTTTCAAAATAAATTTTAAAAATAGGAAAGTTTTAACAACTGGTTATGAACAAGTAGACCTATTGATTCTCAGTATGGAAACAAACCGGGAGTTAGGCAGCAAGTCACATTATATGCTTCCTTTCAACTCAGAAGAAAAAATGTTAAGAAGTTTATGATTCTTTGCTGAGTTAAATTTTAAAATTCAGTTAAAAATTACTTGCAGATTAAAACGAGAAAAATTTTAATTTATCATCTTACATAATATTAATAAATTTTAACTTATAATAACATTTTATATTCTTACTTTAAAGAAGTAAAGATAGCACATTTGATAAAGTCAAACAAATCACACTCACACACACAAATATGCCAGGGAAAAATAGTATTTTTAATGCCAAGGAGACAAATGAAAATGAAAGATGTTTACTCACAGTGCTAATGTTTTGTTGTGTTGTCTTAATTCTCTGAATCTCAGGAGTATCCAACACAGTAGAATAGTTTGAAAGCATTTTCTCTGCTTCATCTTTATATTTTTTCTGAAAAAATACAATATGAATCAGAAACTTTATGCATGTGCAAATATGAATACAGTGCATATATGTAAGAGAGAAAACTATTTCTTCCAACTTCAACTTCACTGTATCACATGACCTTAAATTATTTAAGATGCAAAGCAATTGATGCAATAACAAAAAAATAAAGTACAAAGTTGGTGAAGTGAGCAAACAGTCGGCAGAACAGCCTCTATTTTGGCAGTGTAGAGATGGTACGGGGTTCCTCAGGGTTTTTCTCCTATTCCAGTCAGATATCTTGATCAGAACTGCCAGATTCTGCAAAGGTGTGTTTTCTGGTTTGGGGTAGAGACTAGGGTGTGGCTATTGTTCACAATAGGGTGTGATCTGATTGGATTTGGACTTTTATTTGAGTATAGTTTTTCCTAATATTCCATTATTAGTCTTTTTGTTTTAGTTGGTTTTTGTGGATCTCCTGAATAAAACAGGCTTGGAAGCAAAATCTCTATGAACTTGGAGAAAAAATGAAAGTTTTGTGTTCAAGATGTTTGGTTCATAGATTTGCTGTGGGTGCTCTACAACTTTACGACACTTAACAACAACAACAACAACAACATGGCCTTTCCAAGTTTAAAATGTCCTCTTTCATAATCATTTCCAGGGCAGTGTAGCCTTATAGCTCCTCTGAGTAAATTAATATACCGACTTCTGTACCTACTTCTGAGAAGGTTTGCTTCCTACTTAAGAGAAATATATACAATTGATTAAATAACCTAGAGAGAAAGGTAGGCAATCTACTCCCATGTGATTTACAGCCTCTAAAAAACTGCTGGAAGGTCAGCTATGGGTTGTTTCCAAATGGATGGCACATAACAACATACATACTATGAAAGACCTCTTGTGGTGTAAAGGTTTAGCACTAAGTTGTAATCTCAAATGGCAGCAGTTCAAAACCACCAATCACTCACAGGAGAAAAGACCTGATAATCCACTACTATAAAAATTACAGTCTTAGAAATCCTGCTCTCCTGGAGTCACTATGATTTGAAATTTAATTCACAGCACCCACCAACAACATATACTATACATTTTACTGCAATGTAATACTTTTTGTTTTGTTGGCTTGTGCCATTAAGACGATTTTGACCATCTTAAAGGTTTTTTTTCTTATTTATGATTCTTATAGGGAGAAATTTCCAGCTCTTTTTCTCTCAGGTCCATGGGATAGGTTCAAACTACCAACCTTTTGATTAATAGCTAACTAACCATTATACCACAAGGGCTTAGTTACATAGGAGTACCAGCACTTCCACAGTTCTTACTATGTAATGCGTACTGTTCCTCAGTTTCCACTCTGTTCTGGTCAAAATACTTAACTTTATTCAGTTGTTGTTATTGTTATGTGCCTTCCCAGTCACTCATAGCGACCCTATGTACAACAGCCCTAAACCCTGCTCTGTCCTGTGCCACTCGCACTGCAACTGACACTCTCACCCCGATTACCCCAGTCCCTGAATCAATACACCTCATAGAGGGTCTTCCCCTCCTACGCCATCCCTCCACCCTCCAAAGCATGATGTCCCTCTCTAAGGACCTGTCCCTCCTTACAACATGTCCAAAGTATGTCAGATGAAGCCTCAGAATCCTTGCCTCCCAGGAGCTGCCCGGTTTAACCTGCTCCAGAATGAGTCTGTTTGTTTTCTTGGCAGTCCATGGTATAGTCAATACTCTTCTCCAGCACCACCGTTCAAAGGCATCAATTCTCCTTAAATCCGCTCTAGTCACTGTCCAACTCTCCGAAGTGATTGCAAAGACCATAGCCTGTATCAGGTGCATCTTAGTCTCCAGAGTGACACCATTGCTTTTCAGTGCTTAATTCAGTACTTAACTAATTTATTCAACTAGTACTTACTTTCAGTGCTTTATTTAGTAGTTACATAATTTATTCATCTAGTATTTTATTCATTAAAATACGTACATAATTTATTCAATTGACTAAACATATTCTATTTATTCAAAGAAGATACCATTATCTTCATATTACTAAGAGGGAAACTGAGGCACTAGTCAGAATTAGATCTAAGATTAAATCCAGTCAGTAAAGTAGATAATTATGACCCATGGCTACTTGCTAAGAACTGTAACCACTGCTCATGCTGAATATACCACTGTGTCACTGCATCCTCTGACATAGTCCATTGTAGCCTACACTGATGAAAATCAAATGCATCCTTGTGTCACACACAAAACACCAACACTGTTCATTAAAGCAAAAGATCTGACAGCTCAGGCATCACTTCCTCTGGGAAGCCTTCATTTGATAATTTCAATCTCTAATAGTATTCTCATTATTTATGACACTTCTATTTGTATGAAGATTTGATTATTAAATTCAACTACAAATCTCCAAGGGTGAAACCATTTCTAATTCTGCATGTAAATAAGTGTTAAGGAAGTATCTGCTGAATGAATGAATGAATGAATGAATGAGCTTAGCATTCTAGAGGTAACAATTTTTCTCTATTCACTCAAACAGCCATTTGTCCATTTTGTGCATTTATCTAGGTTTTTATTTCTGACAATACAACTACAGCCAACTTCTCTGAGTCCATGTTCCATCAAGATGCTTTGGGGACAGATACACATGCACTCTGACACCAACCCAACTGTCTTCTCATCTCAGAAGGCTAAGAAGCAGGCGAATCCTTTGACTTTATGACCCTGCCATCTTGATACTGCCATCAGAACCAGTGACTCTCCTTGTTCATATTTCAAACAAAACTTTTTTAAAATTGAGCAAAATGTTACTAAAAATCATCTTCAGCATAAAATTCATTAATAAAATTTAATTCTTTTGTCAATTTCCTAAAACCATATCAATTTTCATAATTCTCCATTACTATTTTTTTTCCTTTGGGACTCATTCTCTTCCACATAAATTTATCATGAAGACTTTATTAACTCATGCATATTTGTGCCTAAATTAGGTATGTCAGAAACTTTCACTAAGTATTTTCTTTTGTTATCATTCTTCCTCTCACATTCAATTTGGGTTTTGTTTGTTGTGTTTTGTTTTGTGGTTTTTTTTTCCTAAAAAAAATATCTGCCAGTTATACTCGGAATATTTCAATTTACCAAAAATACTTAATTCACTTAATGTCAGTCAATATTAAATCTGTCCAAAGCACTTAAGTCTTCATTTAATGTTCGTTAATAGTAAATTTCACTTTTTGTTTTGTTTTGTTTTAAATAAAATCAATGGTTTTATTTGGCACTGGTGGCCTAGTGGTAAGAAGCTGCACTGCAATCCCAAAGACATGCAGCAGTTCAAATCCACCAGCTGCTCTGCAGGAGAAGGATGTGCAATCTCCTCCTATTTGAATTACCGCCCCTGAAAACTCACTGGAGGGTTAGCTGTGGGTCGGTTCCATCTCAGTGGTACACAACAACAACAAAATTTTAGTAATAGTATATACACTATGAAATAGATAAAAGACAAATGTTGCTTTTATGTGCTGCCAAGTGAACTTTAATCCATAGTCACCTGTATGATTGAGGAGAACCTCACATAGGCTTGTCTAAGGTATAATCTTCTTCCCAGGGGGCTTCTGGGTGGGTTCTAACTATTACTTTTTGGTTATGAGCTAAAGGTTAACCATAGTACTACCAATGCTGCTTGTAAGACAAGTGCTTTGTAACTATTTTCCTGTTATATAAATGAGCTAAGAACTTGAGATTCAAATATCAACACAATTTAAAGAGAAAGGTCAAAATGTCCTTCAAATCAAAGGTCTCAGTAGAGACTTCAGTAACATGCAACGGGCTGCCAAAATGAATAAACAAATATATCCTGGAAAAAAATACAGACGGAACACTCCTAAGCAGGTAAGACTTTGTCTCACACACTTCAGGTATGTTATAAAGAGGAGTCAAAGGCTGGAGAAGAGACACAATGCTTGGACAAGCAGAGGATTAGCAAAAAGAGGAAGGTTTTCCACAAGATGGAACGATGCACAATTGCAACAGTGGGTGCAAAGGCAGCAGAGAATGTGAGGACAGCACGGCATCAGGCAGTTCTGTTTTGTTGTACACACAGTCACTGTAGGTTGTGGCTGACTAGACTGCACTTTAACCATAGCAAATGTCTGTCAAATCCAAACTACAGACGTTGCCTCCTTCATTGGTGATGCTAATCAAGTTCAGTCAAGTGTTCCTTTATAATTGGGTGCACTGACTTTCAATGTAAAGTCATCAAGATGAAATAAAACCCAGAGATACACAAAAAACATAGTGCTTAGGTATTAGAGCCCACTGTTCGGAGTTCCTTCATTATCCACTGACCTGGCTATAGATTTCAGATGCTCTCTTGGCGCGAAGCATATCTGGGATATCCATGCTCACCTGCATTCCTTTCCCTTTTATTTCATTTTCCAAGTCTTTCTTATATTCTTTCTAAGAAAACAGAAAATACTTTTCAGAGCAATGTGGTAGATAGAACCATGTGGCTGTGACAAGTCTACACATAAACCACTTCAAAAGAGGGATTCTTATTATATTGCATGTATTATTTGATTAGGGTTTTTTTCCATTTTCTGTCATATTTCATTCTTACCTGGCTGACAATTTCAGATGCTTTCTTAGCTCGCTGAATATCCAGAGTGTCTGAGTCCACCTGCATGCCTTTCCCCTTAATTTCAGTCTCCAGATCCTTTTTATAGTCTTTCTGTGCAAAATAAGACATGTAATTAGAATACTACAACAACTTGAAAAATTACATTGAATAATTGCAAAGTTATTTGTCATCAAGACCATATCTTCTGGAGATGAGTTGGACCCTTATTTTTTTTACAGTTCTACAAATAGTGTTTTCACTTGCAGTAGGAACTCAAACTTGGAGTGACTTCTTCACAAGCAATCAGAAAGATATTCACCATTAATCTAAATTAAGGTTGGAGATTCTAGGCGTGAGGCTATTTTAAAATGACTAAATTGAATGTAGTGGCTAATATACTGGTAACTTGGTTGATAAAGATAAATGAAACATAAAGTTACAACTTTTGGCCTGTGATAAGTAATTGTTCATTGCTTCCCTAGAATATGCACTCTCTCTTCTTGTTAACAGGCAGTTCCCAGATTTGACAGTGGGTAATATCTCTCCTACTTAAACCATGCAGCTTGGGTGGGACTTTTTCAGTAGTTTGGGGTCTGTGGAATTTATGTAATTCTTTAAAATCAACTTGGCTCATCATAACATGAAATGGCCTTATTTTGATTTCCACGTAAGACATAAAGAAGGGGGAAAAAAAACCACAAAAAAACCCAACAAACATCAAGACAAAGCTCTGTCTTTCCTACTGGACATAAAATGAAGAAGAATGTAGCTCTTTGAAGCTGTGACAGGCTCTCTGAAAATAGAAGAAAGCCTGCCTGGAAACTGAAAGATAGAAAACACCACATCTTGATCACATTATATATAGTCATGTCTAAGGAGGACATTCTTATACTATCTAGCAAAAAACAAACAAGCAAGCAAAACCGTAAAGACAAAAACCAAACCCCACTGCTCTCAGGGTGATTCTGACTCACAGCAACTCCTTTGTAGCAAAGCAGAATTGCAACTCCTTTGTAGCAAAGCATTATTGCTCAACACAAGTTTTTGGTTTGATGGTGTTTGTTTGATTGCTTGTTTTTTTTTTTCAGGGTGGGGGGAATTGTAATCTCCATAGAAGGAAGCCCTGGTAGCTTAGTGGTAAAAAGTTGAGCTGCTAAACCCAGGGTACATGGTTCAAATCCACCAAATGCAATACAGGAAAAAGATGGACAATCCCGTTTCATTTACAACCTCTGAAAACCTACTGGAGGGTCAGCTACGAGTTGGTTCCAAACTGATGGTACACAAAAACAACAACAACAATCTTCATAAAAGCAGACCACAAGACCTTTATTCCATAGCAATTCTGGATAGTACTAAACCCATCAATCTTTTTTGTAGTAGTTACTTAAAAATCACTTGTACCGCCCATATATCGTGTATAGTCCAAGGACAATAAACTACTTTGTTTAATCCAATGTATGATGAGCTATATTATGACATAATTACAAAATAATACTAATTGGCAAAGACAGAAGATATATTTGGAAATTCTGCTCATTTTCACAGATTTACATTCTCATTTCTACGTTTCTGGATAAAAAAATTAAATAACAATCTTTAATTTCAAAAAATAAATTTTTGATAATGCTTAAAATTTTACTTTTTCAATATATATGCATCCTCAATTTTAGTTAAACCCATTTAAAACTTAAAAAAAATCTGAAGGACATTATATGTAGAAACTGAAGTATTGGGCATTGATACCACAAAGAACCAAAGTAGAAGCATACTATTTAATTTTTCACTATGAATTTAAAATCTAAAAGCATTCGAGAACATAAAGAGATTATCTAAATCACGAGTAGAACCAGTCATTTATTGTTATTAAGCAAAATATCCCAAAGCACATACAATTTAAAACATCAACACAATAGTGCTACATTATAATAGGGTAAATTGCAATGTGTAATTGTGATAAGAGCCTTTGCTTTAGTCAAGTTTGCTAATGTCCTGCTTACTTAAACAATTTGGTCAAGCCCACAAATACAGGATGGTTTAACTGTGGGAAACCAGTCACATATTAATAAACTACAGTGACATTCCTTGAACAATAAGATGTATTTTTCAAAACAATCTATGTGCAATTTATTTATAGGAAACTCTCATTTTTGGTGGAAAAATATCTGAAAGCCTGTCAACTTGGCCAAATGTGACAAGGCTATGATTATATGTAAATGAGACATTTAGATGACAAACATCACACTATCACCAAAATTGGTTTGGGCTGTATGTAACCATAACAAAGCCAATTCCTCTATTTTTTACCCCAGGTTCTCAATAATTAAATTTGCACTATATTTTCTAACATACAGTCTCAAAAACTACAGAGGAATCCAAAGTAACATATTTTTTTTTTTTAACTTGGAAATAAATTTTACTAGCCTTAGTTTATAATAACTGGTTCTAAAAAGTAAGCCATTTGCAAATTTTTTTCTCAATTTTTTAACACCTTTATTTATCAAGGCTTGTGGCTTTCCTTTGGGGATCTATCTTGCATAGGATTCATTGTTGTTGTTGTTATGTGCCGTCAAGTCACCTACATCCCATAGCAACCCTATGTACAACTCTAAACCTTGCTCTATATTATGTTCCAATCTCACTGTCTCTGACACACCTAACCCAATTACCCCAGTCACTGAATCAATTCACCTCATAAAAGGTCTTTCTATCTTGCCCTGTACCTCCACCCTCCCAAGAATGACATCCTTCTCCAAGGACTGATCCCTCCTTGCAACATGTCCAAAGTATGTCAGATGAAGCTTCAGAATCCTTGCCTCCAAGGAGCAGCCTGGTGTAACCCTCTCCAGGACAAACCTGTTTGTTCTCTTAGAAATCTATGGTATATCCAGTACTCTTCTCCAGCACCATAGCTCAAAGGCATCAATTATTTTTCTATCATCCCTAGTTGTTGTCCAGCTCTCTGACACATAGCAAGTGATTGCAAAGGCCATGGCCTGCATCAGGTGCACCTTAGTCTCCAGAGTGACATCGTTGCTCTTCAGTACTTTGAACAGGTCTCTTCCTTTCCCAAAGCAAAATGTGTTTTAATTTCCTGGCTGCTGGTGTCAAGAGTGTTGACTGTGGAGTCAAGCAAACTAAAGCTGTTTACAATCTCAATCTCTTCACCATCTATCATAATGTTGCCAATCAGCCCAGTGGTGAGAATCTTTGTTTTCCTCAATCTATACTGAAGAATTCATTAAACTTCTTAAATCTTATTATTCTTGTCTTTCATGATATCAAGGAGTTTGGGGCTAGCATATCTTCAAGGATACTCTGCATTTTTCCTCCTCCTGTTCTGAAATTCTAATCAAGTATAAATTAACCTTTTTTATAATCCTGTTAGAAAGCCACATAACCCTTAGGCTTTCCTCATTCTTTTTTTTTTAATTGTTTCTAAAATTGGTATCAAGAGACTTGTTCTACACTTTGTTGACTCTTAAACTGATTCAATTCTACTTCTATGCCCTTCCACTCTTATTGTGTGCAATCAAGTACAAATTGACTGGACCCTCCAGTGGATTTTCAAAGGCTATCTATCCATTTTTCTGTTGCTCTTATGTGCCAGTGAGTCAAAGTGACCCTTCAGCAGTTTTTCAGGGGCTTTAAATGGTGTAGGAGCAGACTGCCCTCCTTTTTTCCACAGTATTCTTCAATTAAGCTATCTATTTCTGATATTTTACTATAAATCTGGGTTATTAGCTTCTATTTTAATTGTTTCTGTTTGTCTGTTTGCTATCTTTTTTGTTTGTGTATTATTTTCCAGAGTTTCCCTAGAGTTTTGTCTGTTTTCCTTGATCTACTTCTTGATTACTTTGAGGATCTTAATGAAAGTTCTTAAAATTCTTTTATAGGCAGTTCCATTATCACATCTTCTTCAGGAGAGTTTTTGGTCTCACTTTGTTTTTTCAAATCTTTGCTAGAGAAGGATATCTAAAGGATCTGTATCTTAAGGAGTTGCCATTTGGGCACTCTCCCTCAATAAGCATCTCACGTAAGGAATATGCTTAGAAGCCTGCTATTAGGTAAAGGTGTGAAATAGAAAATTTCCGTTCTTTCCACATTTTCTACAAGGCAAAGATGCAGTCTCTTAGCTTTAACTCTCATGAGGATGATTTTGCAACCTTCTCCAGTCTTAAAACTCTAGCTCTGTTCCAATCTTGTACTTTGGACACACACTCAAATTCATAGCAAGAAAATTTTCAGAGGATTATTTGTGATTGGATTTTTATTAAATAAGTAATTAATTATTTGCTAGATACTTTGGTGTCATTGCTGTTCAGGACTGTCAAGTTGGAACTGACTGATAGTTGATCCTCCAGTAAGTTTTTAGAGGCAGTATATTCCAGAGAAGAGATTATTCACCCTTGTCCTGAGAAGCAGTGACTGGATTCAAATAGTGTGCTTTGGGGATTACAGAACAGCTTCTTAGCACTAGACCATCAGAGTTCCTTCCCTCAATGGAGGTAATATTGCTGTTGTTATTGTTGTTGTTGTTACATGCCATTCAGTTGGGTGGGACTCACAGTAATCCTATGTACAACAGTCCTAAACCCTATTCTATCCTGGGCCAACCTTATTGTCTCTTGACACACCTACCCCCATTACCCCAGTTACTAAACTGATCCATCTCATGGAGGGTCTTCCTCTCTTGTGCTGTCCCTCTACCCTCCCAAATATGACGTTCCTCTACAATACTGGTCCCTCCTTGTAACATGTCCAAAGTAAGTCAGACAAAGCTTCAGAATCCTTGCTTCCAAGAAGCAGCCCTGTTTCACCCTCTCCAGGATGAACCTGTCTGTTCTCCTAGCTGTCCATGGTATATGTATGTTCAACACTCCTCTCCAACACCACAGCTCACAGCTCAAAGGCATCAATTACCTTTCTATCATCCCTAATCATTGTACAGATCTCTGATGCATAGCAAGCAATCACGAAGAATATGGCATATATTAGGCACACCTTAGTCTCCATCCTGACATCATTGCTCTTTAGTACTCTGGAGAGTTCCCTGACAGCTGACTTTTCCCAATGCAATTAATCTCTTGATTCCTGGCTGCTGGTACCAAGAGTGTTGATTGTGGAACCAAGCAATCAAAAACAATCTCAATCTCTTCATTATCCATAATATGCTGCCAGCTGGCCCAGTGGTGAGAATCTTTGTTTTCTTGATTTTTGAGCTTCAATACATATTGAAGACTGCAGTCCTTGACCTTCTGGAGTAAGCACTTCAGGTCCTTTTCAGTTTCAGCAAGCAGAATTGTGTCATCTGCGTAACGCAGGTTGTTGATGAATCCTCCTCCAATCCTGATGTCACATTCCTGCTCATAGAGCCCAGCCTCTTGGATGATTTGTTCTGCATATAGATTGAAAAGGTATGGAGACAGAATACATCCCTGCCATACACCCTTCTCGATGTTGAACCATGACGTGTCTCCTTGCTCTGTTCTGATGACTGCCTCAAGTATAGGTTTCATAAGCACAATCAAATGTTCTGGGATTCCCATTCTTCTCAGAGTCAGCCACAGTTTGCTGTGATCCACACAGTCAAAAGTCTTTGCATAGTCAATGAAATACACATAGACATTCCTCTAGTACTCTTTGATTTCAGCTAAGATTCATTTAACATTAGCGACAATATCCCTAGTACCACATCCTCTTCTAAACCCAGCCTGCACATCTGGTAGTTCTCTGTTGATGTGTTGCTCCAGTTGTTTTTGGAAAATTTTCAGTAGAAACTTGCTTGCATGTGATATTAATGATATTGTTCGATAATTTACACACTCTTTCAGGTCACCTTTCTTTGGAATGGGAACAAATATCGATCTCTTCCAGTCAGTTGGCCAGATGGCTGTCTCCCAGATTTCTTGGCACAACTTGGTGAGCACATCCAGGGCAGCATCTGTTCACTGAAATATGACAATTACTGCTGGTAGGTTCTCTAAAGTCAGAACCAATCCATAGCTAACCCTCCAGTGAATTTACAGAGGTAGTAAATCTCAGGAGAGGAAAATGCCCATTTCCTTCTGTAGAGCAGCTATTGGATTCAAACTGAGAGCCTTTGAGGTAGCAGCACAATCCTTTACGATTAAGCCACCCTAGATCACAGAAACAGTGCATGATTTACAATCAGGAAAGGTGTGTGTCAGGGATGTAATCTTTCTCCATGCTTATTCCATTTTTGTGCTGAGCAAATAATTCATGAAGGGGGACTCTATGAAGAGGAATGTGGCATCAGGACTGGAGCAAGGGTCATCAACAAGCTGAGTTATGCAGATGACACAACTTTGCTTGCTGAAAGTGAGGAGGATATGAAACATTTGCTGGAGAAGAACAAGGACTACAGCCTTGAGTATGGATTACATCTCAACATCAAGAAAACAAAGGTCCTCACCAAAGGAACAACATCATGATAGATGGGAAAAGGACTGAAACTGTCAATGATTTCATCTTGCTTGGATCTACAATCAACACCTTTGGTACCAGCAGTCAGGAAATCAGGAGGTGCATTGCACTGGGCAAGTTGGCTGTCAGGGAGTGCTCTCCAAATTGAGAAATAATGATCCCAGTTTGAAGACCAAAGTGGCCTAATTCAGGCCATGATACTCTCAATGACTGCTATATGTCAGAGAGCTAAACAATGAACAAAGATAAGAGAAGAAGAATTGATGCCTTTCAGTTGTAGTGCTGGAGAAGATTACGGAATATCCCAGGGACTGTCAAAGAATGTACATATGTCTTGGAGAAGTTGCAGCCAAGGTGCTCCCTGGGGACAAAGATGGTGAAGAGGCAAAGAAGGCTAACTACATATCTCATATTTTGGACATGGAGCGAGTCCAAGCTATTCATCAGAGAGTGACAATATGCTTGAAAAGATGGAGGGTCAGCAATGGAAAGGAAGACCTCAATGGGATGGAATGATAAAGTGATTTCAGAAAAGGGCTCTAGTGTATCAGAGATTATAAGAATGTAAGAATGGCACAGAACAGGACAGGGATCAGACCTGTTGTGTTCATAGGGTCATTATGTGTAGTACTCGACAGCACCTAAGAACAACAACAAACACTGTGCAGTTCAGAGAAAGCTCTTATAAGGACATACTACTTAAGCAGAATAAGGAAGCTTATCAAGGTCAGTAATCATATGACATTTGTAATATCTCTGCCTAATCCAATCATCTAAACCCATTTCACTGGACAGTGACAACACAGTAATAAAAATTAATCAGCTGCCTCCCATCATTCACATTTCTTAGGCATGAATCAACGTAGATCAGCTCTTTCTACCCACTCAGGTCACCAAGTTTCTCTTAAGAGTGAGCCTGCTGGAGCCCCACACCTAACAAGTCCTGCTTGAAGTTAGCAAGCATTTTTCATCTCTACAACTCAATTTTTTCTTCACAAACGCTGCTTATAAATCATCTCTTTCAAGATAATGTCCAGTAATCTTTCATACTGTTAAAAAAAGTGAGGAGGTGATACCAGTTTTGGAGTACTTTTTTAAAAAAAATATTCACATGGCCTGACTCATAATTTTGGAATCTCCATTTCTACCTATCTTGGTATCTAACACAACAATTCTAAGCTAACGTCCTTTTGTAAACTATATGAAGCGTGAAAAAGGTTGCTATGAATTGAAGAAATTGGCCATTCAGAATATATAATATCTCTATCCAAAATGTTAACTGCAGATATTTCAGGCATCAACAGAAGCTATCCTGAGACCATGCAACCAAATCACACAGACAGTCATCAATGACATTAGTCTCAAGAGGTAGCATTCAAGTTCAACTCAAAGTTGTAAACACAGATATGCCAAGATAAATATCAGATACATATTCTATATAGTCTAAACAGAAGGTCAGTGGTTCAAATCTACTGGCTTCTCTGAGGAAAAAAGTTGAGCAGACTCCTCCAATGGAAGGTCGCCTTCACTGAACAGCAGTGGGCTATTCTATGTTGTTATGTGCCATTGAGTCAGCTGCAACCCATAGTGACCCTATGTACAGCAGCTCTGAACCCTGCCTTGTCCTGAGCCAATAAAACTAATTCTGACACAACAACCCATATTGTCCCAGTTGCTATATCAATTCATCTCATCTGGGGTCTTCCTCTCTTACATTGTCCCTCCACCATTCTGAGCATGATGTCCTCCTCCAAGGACCAGTCTCTCCTGGCCACGTGCCCAAAATATGTGAGATGAAGCTTCAAAATCCTAGCCTCCAAGGAGAAACTTGGTTTTACCTTTTCCAAGACAGACCTATTTGTTTTCATGGCAGGTCTTGCTATATTCGACTCTTCTCGACCACCACAATTCAAAGGTATCGATTCTTCTTCTCTCATCCTTAGTCATTGTCCAGCTCTCTGATACAAAGCAAGTAACTACGAAGACCATGGCCTGGATTATGTGCACCTTAGTGCACATAATAGGGCTGTTCTCTACAATATCATGTTGTACCATCATTATTTATGTTTGTTTATTCAGGAAACATCCTGAGTTAATCCTTAGTAGCCTAAATCAATACATTCTAGCAGTCTAAATTAAAGCAAAGAGAACTCTGGTGGCATAATTTAGAGGGAGTTATGCTGCTAACATAAAAGCAGCACTTCAAAAGGGCTTCCAATTCACCAGTAGCTCTGATGAGAAAGATGGCCTTGGAATAACTTCTAGAGTGTCAGCGAATGGTCTGTTTCAATTTGAAGGTGATGAGTTGAGCTGAGATTAATGCAAAGCTGTCTGGTGGCATACCACTATTGGTTTCTAGTGGAAAAGATGAGCAGTCTTCTCTCCTACCATTTACAGCCTCAGAAACTCAACGAAGAGTCCTCTACTTGTACGCTCCAACTCAACAACAATCAATGTGAGTTTTGAGAGATCAATGCAGAAGGTGGTTCAGTGGTGGAATTCTCATCTTCCACAACAAGAATCCCTCATGGCACCTCACTCACAGGCACTATCCAACAGCCAACTGAGGCCTGTGTGATGTTAAATAGGATACAGTATAGCTTCTAGTCTAAAATGGACTAAGTGAGAAAGGCCTGACAATCTATTTCAGAAAATCTATCTAAGGATAGGAATCAGATCTGCAACTGGTCAGAGGATCGCCCAGGGCTGGGCAAGATTTTGTTTTATTTTGCTTGAGGTCACCAATCATTGGAGGTCAACTCAGCAATTGCCAGTAACAAAAGATAAATGTAAAATTTATTGCATAAAGGGATAAAATAAGAAGGTATGGATTTATGTGTTCAATCCAAATGCCTCTTCCCATGTTCCCTGTAATACTTTAAAAGATATTAACATGACCAAAATGCAAATTTTCCAAGTAAGTATAATTTTTAAAAAGATCTGCAATATTTACATTTATACTTGTTAAATTACCCAGAGGAACCAAAATCCACAGTTCTCTAGCCGATTTCAACTCATTACAATACTGTACGGAACTACCGGGCTGTTCCACATGGTTTCCAATATCAGAAATCTTTATGGAAGCAGACTGCCTCAGACTATCTATCTTGTTCTCATTGTGTAACTAACTGCTGGTTTGAACTGATGACCTTTTGGTTAATAGCCATATGCTTTTATGCAAAGGGCCTCCTGGGGCTCTTACACTAGCCACAAGATTTAGGAAATTCCACATACCAATCTATTTGCTAATATGATTTATTAAATTCCAAAATATGAACTTCAAGGTTGGCATCATTCACTCTACTAACCTCACTAGCTATCTCCGAAGCTTTTTTGGCCCGTTGTATCTCAAGGGTGTCAGTGCCAATTTGCATTCCCTTCCCTTTAATCATTAACTCCAGGTCTTTTTTGTATTCTTTCTGTAAAAATGAAGATTATATAACATTCAAACACTCTGTGGACAAATGCATATCTATATTAAAAGAAAATGGAAAAAAATAAGTATATTTTAAAAACAAAGAAAACATAATTCACTTTGTACTATTCATGATTACCTAAAAGTGGCATTTTCTGAGTTGCTTAGAACTCCAACTTCTGTTCACATTGAAGTATATAAAACTTGAGATTTTTCTAATAAAAAAATCAAACTGCCAAAATGAGAATCTTCAATGATAATTGTCTTGAAGGGGCTGAGGACTAGGTGGCTGGGAGGACAATGTAAAGCTGTGGTGTTGGAGAATAGAGTGTTGAATATACCATGGACTGCTAGGAGAACAAACATTTGTCCTAGAGAGGGTGAAGCCAGAATGCTCCTTGGAGTCAAGGATTCTGAAGCTTCGTCTGACATACTTTGGGCATGTTGCAAGGAAGGACTGATTGTTGGAAAGGGACATCATGTTTGGGAGAGTGGAGGGACAGCACAGGAGAGGAAGACCCTCAATGAGATGGATCAATTCTGTGGGTGGAGTGGTGGGAATGAGTGTGTCTAATACGGTGAGGTTGGCACAGGATAGAACGGTGTTTAGGGCTCCTGTACATAGGGTCGCTATGAGTCGCAAGTGATTCGATGGCACATAACAACAACAACAACATAACAGCGGCAGTAAGATTAACTCTGACACCAAAGCATTCAATAAATGTGATTCTGGGAAAATGTCTTAGTATTTCTGAGTTTTTGTTTATTCATCTAAAAATGCAGATATTAATACCTCTTCACTAGACCATTTTGAGAATAAATGGGAAAACAGAGTGCCAACACAGTAGGTACTCAGTAACGGTGTTTTCTTTTTCATTGCTATACTTCTCAAAGCTATACCTCTCTACCAAGCCAAAGGTGGGTGACATAGTCTGCGGCCCTCAGGCCTGTTTCTCATTGTTTTTGTTTGAACATTCTTCTAGGTTGTATAGCCCTGGTGTGTTCATTTCCCGTACAGCGGTTGCTGTATGGTTCCTGTATGGTTGCTGTGAAGCTGAACACTGACACTGATGGGTCAGATGCATTAATGGTTATTCATGGTGGACAGTGTTTGGTGGAGCTTCCTGATTAAAACAAACTTGGAAGCAGGAATAGCATCCACTTCCGTAAATAGCTTGCCTCTGGAAACCCTATGAACCTGGAGAAAGGATGAAAGTCACACAACAGTTGAGGACTTTTGTTTATAGGGTCACTATGAGTCGCCTGTGATTCCAAGGCACTTAACAACAACATACCTCTCCACAAAACCTTTCTTCTAATAATACACAACTTGTTGCTATTACAGCCACCATCTTGTTATTAAACTGCATTTGACTGCTCTCTGCCATGAGAACTTTTCCAAATGGCAGTAACAAGTTATTACAAGGTTTTACTATGTATATGAAATGGCTATATCACTCTAATAGATGAATCTGTGATAAAAGGATTACATAATGACAATATTAGCCAAAGGCATCCAAATGGATAGCTATTCTTCTAACCAAATCACATGTAATTCTCCTTTCCTGGAAAAGAGTTCCACAATTTTCTTTTTGAAAAGCTTATTGTTTTAAATCCATACATTTTTGGGATTGATTAATGTCTACCTCCTTCCTACTCTACACATAAACTTTTAATTCATAATTCCTCTAAGCTATTCTAAAAGAATGGTCATGGCCAAAGCTGAATGTAAATTTAATTATTTTTTTTTAAACCATGCACACCAAGGTTTACTGCAGCTTTGTTCACAATAGCAAAAAGTTGAAAGCAACCCAAGTGCCCATCAACCAATAAATGTATAGAGAAGCTCTGGTATAGTCACACAATGGAATACTACACTGCACTGAAAACAAGGAACTCATGAAATATTATACAAAATGGGTGACTCTGGAAGACATTATGCTGAGTGAAGTATCTCAGTTACAAAAGGACAAATAGGACAAATACTGAACAGTACCACTGTTGTAAAACAGGACTGACATCGGGGTTAGGGGAAGACTGATAAAGATGGGATAAATTATGTATACTGCATTGAAACAGATGAGAGGGGGAACTGTTTAAAAGGGATATATGATTAGGTATTATTGGCATGACAGGAGTCCAGAACGAAGGCTGCATAATAGACTGGACTTGGATAGCGGGATCGTATAGCAATGAAAGTATTTTTCTTTTACTTTTCAAAGAGAAGAGTGAACTGGGGCAGGGCAAGTGGGCAGGGGGAAAAGTGCAACAATGAATAATGGAACTCCAAAGTCTTTATAAACTTTCATTAAAATTAGTGATAGATTTTTAAAAATCATAACAGTGAAGAAAAGTTTATACCTGTAACATATTGTTAAACTACGCAGAAAGTTAACTAAACAAACTGATGCCCATAAGAGATGGAGTAGGCCGATTAGCTTATTAGACTACCCAATTCTAGGGCACAATGATTAGGTCATTACTGTTTTCTTATATAAATTTTCTCTAAAATGAGTAAATGGTCATTTTTTAATACCACACAGAAAAGGGATAATTTATTAAAACAATTCATTGCCTAAGAAAAAACTGCTAGAACATTACAGCTTGCAATCCCCTACATGCAAAGGTACAGACTGGTATAGTCTAGGAGAACAATTACACAAGAGGAAATTAGTCAGCTATTTAGACATTTTAAGTTGTAAATAAACATACCTCACTAGCCATTTCAGATGCTCGTTTTGCTCTTTGAATATCCAGAACTTCTGAATTAACATCCATTCCTTTCCCCTTTATTTCATTTTCCAAATCTTTCTTATATTCTTTCTATAAAACAAGAATATTGCAGTTCAAAATATATTGGACATTCTGTTACTACCCTGTTGTTGTTGTGTACCGTCGAGTCAGAACTGACCCATAGGTGGCCCACCAGCAGGTTTTCAGAGGCAGTTAATTGTGTGGGAGGAGATTGCCCATCATTCTCATACAATGCTACTCTAATAGGTACTTATTTCCAGGTCCTGATGGCTATTTTCCAAGGATCAAAGATGAAAAATTAGTCCCAGGAAAAATAAATCAGATCGTTGAGTGTTTACTCCTGACATCCAACAGACTTCATTTTCTTCTCTTACCATGTTTAAAGCAGTTTACAATATTATCAGTTTTTTCCTTTCATCCTTCCTTCTGATATACTTTGGTCCATATAGGATTTGTTTAAAAGACATTTTTACCTTTTTAGTAGTAAGGAAAATGTTATTAATACATGCTTGTTACCAAACATTTATATTTCCGATCACATCTATGCATCTGAGAGCTGGACACTGAATAAGGAAGACAGAAAAAGAAATGATGTCTTTGAGCTGTGGTGTTGGAGAAGAACACTGACTATCCCATGGACAGCCAAGAGCACGAACAGGTGTGTCTTGGAAAGGGTGCAGCCAGCGTACTCTTTGAAGGCAAGATAGACGAGACTTTACCTCACATACTATGGGCATGTTGCTAGCAGGGGCTATTCCTTGGGGAAGGATATGATGCCGGGAAGGGGGGGGATCAGCAAAGGAGAGGAAGATCCTCAACCAGGTGTACTGACATGGTGATTGCTGTAATGGGCTCTTGTGTGTCAGGAAGTGTGAGGATGGCACAGGATAGAACTGGGTTTAGATCTTTTGTTCATAGGGTCACTATGAGTCATACATGACTGGATGGCACCTAAAATAAACTAATTATTTGAAATATTTCCTTGAAAACTGTCTATAGAATATTAATCATCCAAAGAGTATTTTTTCATTTTTAAAAATAATACCCTGTTATTTAAAAAAGAACATTAAAAATCCAAGTAAAGCCCTACTTGATAATGTATCATTTAGGATTTCAACACTTTTAATATTACTTTAAGTAAATTTGAAAGTCATATGTTACCAATTATATGTAATTCTTTCCTTGATAATTTTTAATAATTTTATTAATGACATGGAAATTATATTCTATTATCTTTCCACGAAGTTGCATTTATATCTAACTTACCACATAAAAGGTGTAACATCTTTTATTGATAAGAAAAGGCCCCAGATAGAATTCTAGCATTCATTTCATGTTATTTTCTCTTTGTTCAGTACAATTAAATTAGTTGGTCTTCTGTTTAACAGCATACTTCCTATTTCTGTGACCTCCATGTAAGCGTGCAAAGAATTCTGGGACAAAGGACCCAGGTGAAGGTCTCAGCACCTTCACTCATTTAGTCATGCTACCAAGCAATATACTGGTCACCAGGGCTCCTTACATGACCTTCAGGAGATCTTTAAGTAACCAAGCCTTTTTATACTGGAAAAATGGAAACAAAAATACTGTCTCTGCAAATGTCCAAGGGCAAATGGGGGAATTAAGTGAAATGAAGTATAAAACGATACTCTGAATCCTTTAAGTGGTAATATAAATGTAAAAAAAAAACCATAAAGAGAAAACTACATAAACTCAATTTAAAGATAAGTGGTTACATGTAGAAAGGGAGTAACAAATTCATTAAGTCACTAAGAATCCCTTTTTTTCAAATCAGCCATCTCTATAACTTCATTAAAATATTTTTAATCATAGCCATCTGAGTCTTTCTTCTATCCTGATTCTGAATTGGTAAGTACTATTTTAAAAGCTGAATAAAGAAAAATTCAACAGTATGTATATTAAAGTTACTTGTGAATCTCAAAATAGATCTCACACTGTCACGTGTATGTAAATGAGGAAACAATTCTTTTGTCATAAGTCATATAAATGGTGTCTATTCTTTTTAAATGGAATGTTGACATTTGATTAAACATTTGGCCTCCATTCCAGTGCTGGCAGGGAGAAGAAAAATTGTCATTACAAAACTCAATATTATTAGTATGAAAAAACACTCAATGGGATTTGAAAGTGAGGCTTCCCAAGAGAAAGGATGTAAATGATCATTCTTCTTCCTGACCATCCCATTCCTTAAATGACAAGGTTTCAACTCTCAGAAAATTCATAGCAACCAGAAACAAGTAGGGTAGCAACAGAATGCTCTCATTCCTATTCATGCCCATTTAGCAAATAACAACTCTGACTAAATTTCAAAATGCAGTTACATGGTAAAGGCCAGCTGTCATTTTATTTTTTTATTTTATTTAATTGTATTATTTTACTATTTTATGTTATGTTATTATTTTACTATTTTGTGTGTGTGTACCATCAAATCAGATCTGACTGCTACAGGAGGAGACTGCCCCTCCTTCTCCAGCAGAGCATCTGGTGGATTTGAACTGCACACCTATGGGATTTCAATACAACTTCTTGCCACTAGGCCACCAGAGCTCCCTCAACTGTCATTTTCTAATTAAAGAAGTTGATGATCAGACAGTTCTTTATAAGTAATTCTAATTTATTTCACTGATGTAAGAGAATTCTTTCAGGAATAATTTCTTCAGTTCTAAAAGTCATGAAGAAGGGAAGTCTTTTTCAAGTATGTTTCCCTTTATGTAAAGATAATCTCATAAGCAGAGCGGTAAGAGATCCAAATTAGTTGTCAGCCAATGAAAGCCAACTTTTAAAGGGATGGGCTGTGAGCAGTACAGTGTTAGGTTTAAAGACTTAGTATTCAAAAGAATTAATATATTCGTTTAAGCCTAAACATACCTTTAAATTTGGGCATAAAATGCTTCCAAGAATAAATTAAAATAAAAATGAGTATGTGTTCCTACATACCAATGTACCTATGTCAAAGATATTCTTTTTCCCTAATTAAAACACTGAGGAAATTCTGATCACAGCACATGTCAGGCTGCTAACCAGAAGGTCATCAGTTCAAACCCCTCAGCTGTTCCTTGAGAGAATGATGGGCTGTCTCTTCCTGTAAAGATTTATTATCTCAACAACTTGATAGTGGGGTTGCTATGAGTCAGAATAGACTCAAGGACTTAAAAAAAGTCAGACTGGAAACCGTTCATAGGTAATGCATCATTTTTCTAGACGTTAAATCTGAACACCTTATTTCTAATATCAAATGACACAGAAAATCTATGTTAAAAGGCTGGTTTTCATACATTTTTATGATACCTCAGCTTGAGAGAATCAGGCATGTTCCACTCATGGTTAAGTCGTTTTTAAGAACGATTACTGTAAACTTAAAGCCTACCTGTATAAAACTTTAAGCCACAACCACAACTAAAAATCAGAATATATCTTTTTTCAAATTCTTTCAGAAAATCTTGATTAATTCTTTCTATAGTCATAAAGGAAATATAAACTTTTTTCAATTTTTTATTGAATATACTAAGCTCTATAAAGTTAAAATGAGAGGAGGGTTAATATAATAAACACCTAAACAGTTGAAAATCATCAAAAATTAATATTTCCTTTTATTAATTTACTTCTCTTTTGAAACATCTTATAATTAACACAAGGATCATACCTCCTTCAGAAGGTTGGTTATGTACTTGACATGTAAAAATTCCGGAGTCTTGTCTAAGTCCAGTGATGACCTTCCTTTAATTTCCTTCTCGAAATTCTCTCTATAAACTTTCTATGAAATAAAACAACATGATAAGTTTCATTGTTAGTTACTAAAACAATAGTAAAACAAGATTTCCTGTAACAATAGAAAAATCATTCTGGGGTTTAATTCGTAAGAAATAAAAACAAATAACTGAGCTTATCATAAATTTTAGAATTCAACAATACAAAAATAAAATCATGTTAGCAGAGCACTCTGAGTGAAGCTGCTCAGCATCTTAATATCTCTGTGAATATTTAAGATCAGGATATTATGGGGGAAGAACCAATTTATTTGGCTAACTAACTAAGTCATCATATTAGTGCACTCAAAAGGAAATAATCCAGTCAGAAAATCTGGTAACACAGAACGCTGAAAAAAAGCAAAGCAGCATGTTCCACCATCTCCCTCTTGGTCTCTCTTTCTCTTTGTTTCTCTGTTTCTGTCTTTGTTGGGCCATTTCAAAATGTATTGGGGGTTGAAGAAGTGAAGAGGTGTATTTCCTTTCAAGATTATGGCACTGAGAAAATTTGTCTACCATCTACAAAGTTTGAACTTAATCTGTGAGGAAAATCTTATCTTAAAACAGGTATGCATCATCTTTCAGACACAGTATGTCTGCATGTATGTCCTAAGTCCTGCAAGCTTTGTTGTTGTAGGGGTGGTGGTGTACTGTGGAGTCAGAACCTATCCATAGCTAATTCCCCAGTGGGTTTTCAGAGGCAGTTAGCTGCATGGGAGGAGAGTGTCCATCTTTCTCCCATTGAGCAAATGGTAGATTTAAACTCTGTGCCTCCAGGGTTCATGTAAAAAGGGAACATAACTTTCCTTTTGTTTATTATTTCCCTCTAATGGTCATCCCCCAAACCCAGACTCCTATAAGACTGGAACATGGGAAGGGTACAGGCCCGTGAGGTCGAGGACATGGTTCTGGGCTCATGGGCTTTGTCCAGCAGGCAGTGGAGCTACTCTGACTACTCTGGAAGATGAAACAATGGCAGGACTGGCGCACTCTGTTCCTGTCTCACTCACTTCCTCTCTCTCTGCTCCCACTCCTGTCCTCTGAGCCAGCACTGTGCTAGTTCTTCCAGACCCTACCAGAAGCTCCAGTAAGAAGTGAGCCTCCATAAAGTTCTCCTATGGTGTTCACATGATGTCCAGACCACATAGAGTACTATTTTACAGAATGTATGGTGAAATTTAATGAAGCATATCTGTTTATAGTTCTGCAGGTACATTTATACCATTAGATGAAACAAGCATTCTGACAGTGACCGTGAAAGCCTAAAACCACCCTCCCTTATACCCTTCGACAGCAACTGCCATCTGTCAGCAATATGTCTCTAAATTCTGGCCTCTGAACTACTGATGTGACAATCAGTGATAACACATGCTTTATAACTATAAATATAACAGCTCTAAGTAATAAAATGTGCTATTTATATACAGATTCACCTGACAAAGATGGGCTCAAATTTTAAGAGCCAAATATTTTATTCACATTGCCTTATAAAAGCGATTTAAAGAAGTAAATTCTGCATGAGACTATTAATGCAAAGTGAGAAGTCACTCCTAGTTGTTTTATACTTATACAGAGAAATGTAATTCATATAAAAATTCTTAAAATTATGAGGAAGGATAAAGAGAAGAATACTGCTGCCTCCCTTGACATATGGCTGTTAACCAAACGTTTTTGTTTTTCTGTACCACTGAGTTGGAAATGACTCTTAACTGACCCTCCAGCAGGTTTTCAGAGGCTGTAAATAACACAGGAGGAAACTACCCATTTTTCTCTTAGGGACCAGGTGGTAGATTAGAGGGCACACCCTTAGATTGGCAACCCAATTCCTATCACTAAGCATCCATAGCTCCTTATTCAAAAAACCATTTATGGAAAATAGGAACTGCATTGGAACATGTATCTCTGGATTAGAAATGAAAAATATCTGCAAAAGACTCAAGCAAGACCCACACCTCACTCCATACACAAAAACCAACTCAAGGTGGATCATGGACCTAGGACTAAAACCAA